AGTTAAAAATGTATCCATGTTTGATGCCTATAGACTTAAATCATTAATCACGGTAATTTTGACGATAAGTTGGTAAGTAACTAGCGACCTGAAAAGCTCCTGGATTACTGTATCGAATTTTAGATTTTTGGGAACTGACTGCAGTGTAAATTGATAGGAAGAGTAATTTTATTGAAATCTAACAGGAATATGTTTTTGCAACTAAAGCATCAAGATACCATCAAGTCAAAATTTCGTTGGATTATAGAGTCGTTCAAGTTATTTAGGAAAACACGATTTTAAGTAGTGCCGTTTTGGGTCTATATATTTTTAAGAGTCCCGCAAAACATATTTTTGTAGTAACTTTTGAAAATTTTTGTATGTTTTATATTCATTCGCAAAATTTCTTATTCTTATTCTCTAAACACTTTTAAAAAGAAAACTATTATATCTATAGGCTTATTTCAAAAATACTCTGAGTTATACAATCAGTGGTGCTCCCAGGATTTCAGACTGGAGAGGATAAAGTGGTAACGTGAGTTTCCTAGGGTACTATCACCAAATTTTGAAAGAAACTACACAATATTTTGCAAAAAAGGCATTGCTTTGAATACGAGGTCTAATAAACAGTTCTCAGTGTTTTTAGTAAATAACATTTTACTCCTTTATTGTTTTAACGAGTGTCGAACAAGGGAGTTTAAAAAACGTTATGAGGCATTATTGCCCTCCTTGGTAGATAATGAGAACCTAATAAACAGAAACGGTAGACAACAAAACAGTAACGGACCAATGACAGTTCAAGCACAAGTGCACAATAACGCTTCAAACACAAAAGCACCATTCAACACACCTAAGACGCCTACTAGTGCCCTTTACAGAAATAACACTAAAGAAAAAGTAGATGAAATCGTTGAAAACTTAAAATACCTTTAACCTGGAACCCTAAGTAAAATTAAACAAATAGTACTTAATGATACAGACCAGACTGACAACGAATTTCACTGAAAAAACAAAAAATGTTACATAGCCTAGTCTCAGTAGCACAAAACAGACACAACTGCAAAATGAACAGCAAAGGCACTTTAATCACTTTATATTTTTGTAATTTATGGCAGAGGAGTAAAAAGACATTTTAATTGGTAATGTTACATTAGCATTAAAACCTATCACTTCGGCTTGAAATTAATTTACTTTGCTTCTCACATAATTCTTGAATGCTATAACTACTACTGCAATTTCATACAGCGAGTGAAATAATAGCGAAACTAGATGGGAAGCGAATGATCATGATCAATCTGAGATGTGGCACAGAGCGGGTTGCTACCACTTTTTTAATTGTGATTCATCAATGTAGGGTGGACAAAAACACAAATGTTCTTTTAAAAAAGAAATAGTACACTTTTTGTTTAGAAGCAATAATCCGTCCCCACGTGGATGAATTACCCTGTATAGAAATATACATTGTCTAAAGTTAGTAGTGGATCAACGGAAGTCAGGTGATTGAAGGCCTCAAAACATATCGAATGAACCCCTATATGTGTGGGCCGAAATTTTATAGTTCAGGAGATATTTGCAATTTTGTGAGATTTCGAAAAAAAAACGGGATAATGAACTTTCAATCGCAATTACGACTAAACCATAAGGTTTAGGGCTGTGATTTTTTTTTGAGATGAGCTAAATGCTTAGTCTTAGCAATGGTTATGTCACTTTTTAATAGAGCTAATTAGAAATCAACGCAAAAAATCTTTATGGTAAAAAATCTCTTCCATCCCTGAAATTTGGAGGGCGGTAAAAAAAATTGAGGTTGTATTTCACTATTCATTTTATTGCAAAAACTATTTCAAACTATGTAAATAAAACCCTGAAAATTTCAGCTTGCTACGATGAGTGTATCATGTCACATTCGTTGTTGCGATGCGATAACCGTAAGAAACGCAATAGAATCCTTACCACCTACAAGTACAGAACCTATTGTGTTTAGCCGCTCTTTATAGCGATTTACCGACAAATGTGGAAGATAATTTAATTTAACTAACTTTGACAACATGTTCGAAATGGCCTCCATTATTTTCTATACACAAGCGACATCTTCAAAATGAATTGTAAGATTTTTTGCGTTGATTTCTAATAAGCTCTGTTAAAAAGTGACATAACCATTACTAAAACTAACCATTTAGCTCGTCTCAGAAAAACATCACAGCTCTAAACCTAATGGTTCAGTTGTAATTGCGATTGAAAGCTCATTATCCCGTTTCTTTCGAAATTTCACAAAATTGCAAATATCTCCTGAACTATAAATTTTCGGACCACACATTTCCGTTGATCAACTTCTAACTTTACATCCTGTATATAAAAATGTTAAAGATACATTCCAATGCACGCATCACGTTAGTGATAAGTAAAATGATTTGTTGATTCCTTGAATCACCAAAGAGATGTGCGCATCGGCAGGGTCATTATAAAAAAAAACAAAATTTCAACTAAGTTGACTAAGTAGGCTAATGTGAATAGTTCATTGCGCGCTTGCTCCAAGTGAGCATGAAGTTCCAAGATAACACCTTGTAGGAAAACCTACATAATGTCAAAAAACCTATACAGGGTGTTTCAGTTTATTGTTGCATAACTTTAAGATTCGATAGAACCTTTAAAATTAATGCATAAAGTCTATATAAACATGGGTCGAAAAATGCGTGGCTTCCGAAATACAGGGTGTTTAAATTTACTTTCTAAAATAGTTTTTTTTAAATATTTCGAACAATATTTGATGTATAACAGTAAAAATTGGTATACAAGGGTTTTTTTGGTACGACAAAACGAACCATGGGCATAGTTTTACTGTAGCCGCTAGAGGGCACTCTCTACTGTACCTGTAGTGTATTAAAATGACCGACAAATTTTTCTTAGAGCAATTTTTTGCTTTTTGAATATAAAAACTGATTCTTCGCACTTTTCAGCATAAAAAAGCTCTCCATTGAGTTTTCGTTATAGTTAGCCGTTTTTGAGATATTTCGATTTCTAAGGTTCGATGTATTTTTAATTATTTATGGGAAAATAATATTTTTTTTACATTTTCGATTTGGGCATTACAAGTAATTAAGATGATCGTTTAGATTGTGTTTTTAAATACAGCAATAATTCCTAACTCCAAATAAACATAAAAAAACAGAATATTAATTAGTTTAATTTTCCAATATTATTTTTAACAAATTAAATTAATTATTTACAACTAAAATGCTATTGGATAGTTAGGACAAACATACAAAATCTAAAGTAGTTGCTCGAAATGTAAACCCAATTGTTCAATACACAATTCACATCTACGAATGATCGAACGTGGTATAGCATTATTCAAATAAGGCCTTATTTGATCACATACATTCCTGATTCTGTCTATTAGCATATCTCTTGTGGTTACGAGAGTCTGGTACACTTTTTCTTTTAGAAATCCCCACACAAAGAAATCTAATGGATTTAGGTCAGGGGATCGCGGAGGCCAGGCGACTGGTCCTCCACGGCCGATCCATCTTTCTGGATAATTTTTGTCCAGCCAGTTTCTAACTATTCTCGAATAATGAGCTGGACAACCATCAAGCTGGAACCAGGCCAATCTTCTTAAATCTCACATAACATCATCCCACATATAGTCAACGCCAAACAAAGTGGCGTGCACGTCATCAAGGTGGGTGTGTTGAAAAATTTACATTGTTGCCAAACTTTTTGTAAAATAATAAAATTTATTATTTACATATCTAGGTTTATAAGCAATATTAACCTCAAATGAGAACAAAAATAATAGTATAATAAAATTATAGATCTGTACTTGCATAATCATTAAGTATGACAATTATTGATCAGATGACACTATGAAACTACCATATTTAATTGATAGCTTAAAGGTACTGAATAAAAATCCAAATGGGGTCCTCCAAATTTTATGCATGGTATTTATTTTACAGAATTCATACAGAAAAATGCATTCTAAAATTAGGTAAGCTACTGGTGTAAGCTTTTTCTGTACAATAAAGTTAGTCGGAGTTTCTTTCTTCAGCGCTGTCTGAATCTGAATCTTCATCACTCTCAAAGTTGATTATTAAAGGTTCGATGTCTGGTCGATCAAAAATTCGTTCTCTTTCATACCATTTAAAAATTTCTTGCTCAGTATGTCGAACACTATTTTTCCACATGTCTGGGGTAACCGTTTGTAGAGCCTCGTTCCACATATCCAAACAGTCTTTTTCACTGTTACCATCTCTACCAATATGTCTGTTATAGTAACCTTTTGCTATGCCCCAAATTAACTCAATAGGGTTAAATATACAATGGTAAGGAGGCAGACGAAGAACTTTGTGCCCATGTTGTTCTGCCAATTCATCAATCACGTATATTTTAGGTGGTTTGTTTCTAAAAAAGCAGTTATTTTAAGAATAGGAATAAACAAAAGAAATATAAACTGTCGACCAAAATATATATAATTAAGAAGCATTATGTACCGAGCAACAATACTCAATAGCTCTGTTTTAAACATTGTGTTTAAAAATGGTACCGTGAAATGGGGTGAATAGAAACTGCTGGGTGAATAGCAACAAAAACGGGAAACTTCTTTTAAAAAAAATCAACATTGGAATTAAACCTCCCAACGCTTCAAATTTGTTCTCAAACGGTCAACAGATGTCGCCATAACTGCTTTAACAGGCCAAAGATGTTTTATGCTGGCAGCCCTGATTGCAGTAGCAACCACCCGTCGGAGTGAACACATGAGCCTTTTTCATCACTAGCAAAACTTTATTCACAGTGGTTAGCTAAAAACAGGTAAGACATTGAGTTTTTGGTTAAAGTAGCTTTAAGGTGTCTGGTTCACATTGCCTATTTCAGAAATTGCTTGTCTTGCTTATTTTTTTTGCTATGATGTAATATAATACATAACCACACTTTTAAGTAATTTTGGGGTGAATAGAAACACGCTGTTTCTATTCACCCGCTGTTTCTATCCACCCCATAACTGTTTTTTCTTTTGCAGGAAAATGCCTCGCGTTTATAAACCAGACCCTCGAGGTAAAACATATAAGAAAATTGATGAAAAAACTCTAAATATAGCCCTTGCTTCAATTGACAACGGGATGAGTTATAGAGTGGCTCACGAAACATACAACATTCATTATTCTGTGCTTTATCGGCACCACAAAAACCGAAATCTGAAGCTTCATGGAGGACAAACAGCCCTAACCAAACAAGAAGAAGATATTTTAGTCCATCAACTAATAGTTTGTTCCGATTGGGGGTATCCACTTGACCATTTGGACTTCAGGATGATGATAAAAAATTACCTAGACAGTAGAGGTAAAACAATAACGAGATTTAAAGATAATATCCCTGGCAGAGACTTTGTATATTCTTTTTTAAAACGTCACAAAAATGAATTAAGATCTAGAATCTGCCAAAACATCAAGCGCTCAAGAGCTGCTGTTTCTCCCAATACTATCAATGCTTATTTTGACAATTTAGCCACGGAGTTGAAAAATGTACCGCCATCAAACATAGTAAATTACGACGAAACAAATTTAACTGACGATCCGGGTAGAAAGAAAGTAATCTCGAAAAGGGGCTGTCGCTATCCAGAACGTATTTGCAATACGTCGAAGTCAGCCGTTTCTATTATGTACGCTGCTTCAGCTGATGGAAAATTTTTCCCACCATACGTGGTTTACAAAGCTAAAAATTTGTATACATCTTGGACAGTTGGAGGACCAAAGGACGTCAGATTTAATAGAAGTCCATCAGGTTGGTTTGATGCGATTTCCTTCTCAGATTGGGTAGAGAGTACTGTCATACCTGCAGTAAAAAATCTACCGGGAAAGAAGTACTTAATTGGCGATAATCTGAGTTCACATTTTTCTGCAAGTACGGTATCTCTTTGCGAAGAAAATAATATTTCATTTATATTCCTCCCGGCTAACTCTACTCATCTGACCCAGCCTCTGGACGTGGCATTTTTCCGGCCTCTTAAAACAGCCTGGCGACAGATCCTTGAAAAATGGAAAATGGGGGCTGGTTCAAAGCATTGCACGGTTCCAGAGGACAGATTCCCTTTCTTGCTAAATGACTTGTCAAAGGCTATTGAGCCTAATGCTGGAAAAAATATACAATCTGGCTTTAGAAAGTGTGGAATTTTTCCACTAAATAGGGATCAAGTCTTGGGACGCCTTCCGCAGCAAAATCTTGACGAGACAAATGATGAGAATCAGAACATTGAAGAAGGACTTAATAACTCTTTGGTAAACCTTCTAAGAACAATGAGATATGGCGATGGTCAAAATGTGAAGAGTCGACGTCGTAAAATTCAAGTTCCTGCTGGCAAAAGCGTTACAAGTGCAGATTTTGAAAGCACGTTGGATAAAGACGATCAAGAGGATACTGATTTGGAAAGAAGTATGGAAACCTTAGATGAAGATTCAGACCCGGAAATGAATTTGCCCCTTATTAATTTCATGCCAATAATGGCAAAAGCTCAAGATCATTCTTCAAGTGAAGACTCTGACATGGAAAAAGATCAAGATCATTCTTCAGATGCAGACTCAGAAATGGACACTTCACTACCAAGTTTCACCGATAAGTCCGAGAATAAGTTGGATACAAATAATTCATCAGCATCAGTCTGCTTTGAGGGTAAATTGTTTCGATGTGTTTCTCCTATTTCGCTTGATTTAATAGATAAAGGAACTTGGCTTCTGGTGTGTTTTCCAACAAAATATCGAAATAGACAAAGAAATAAATATTTTATCGGACAAGTCATTAATATTACAGAAAATGACATTGAAGCCACTTTCTTAAGAAGTCGCCCCACCAAACACTCGTCAGGATATATTTATGGATTTCCAGAAGTTCCGGATGTTTCCACCTTTCATTTTAGCCAGGTTGTTGGAGAGGTTTTCCCAGTTCATGACGAGATAGAAGCATCTACGTCAAGAAGAGACATTTTAAAATTTAATTTGCATCAAAGTTGTTTAATTTAAATAATATGTTTAAACTTGTTACATTTCTATAGAAATAAATGTTTTTTTTTGTAAAATTGGTGTTTTTGTCAGTTTTTTTTGTGTATTTATATTTTTTTATCAATTTAAAAATTTTTTCAGGTTTTTCTATTCGCCTTCGTGTGGGTAGAATAGCAAATTTGACCAATTTAAATGGGTGTTTCTATTCACCCCACATTAAGGGTGAATAGAAAAAGAGCGTTTTTATTTTTTATTTGGAAAACCCCCTATTTAAAAAAAAATCTATTATGCGCTTTTTGATCTACAAGTCGAGACCTGTAGATTCCTTATTTTTTGTTGTCAAAAAGGTGACTACCATGTTAGCAACAGAGTAGGAAAGGTCCGAAACTGTTTCTATTCACCCCATTTCACCGGTATGTTTTGATTTGTCAACCAGTCTTGGATATTTTTTTTTGTCCATGCATTGTTGGGCACTTTGTTCAATATCATGCTGTGATAAGGGGCGTAATCCAGTATAATCATAGATGGACTCTCCAATTTTTCTAATAACTGATGTTGAAACCATTTCAAAAAATTGTCCTGGTTCATCTCTCCATGGTAATCGCTCAATTTGTTTTCGAAGAAAATATCGCTTCACTACCCTCAATAAACCCATTTTCATTTCCAGCATGTAATATAATGTATCTAAAATATATTAGTTTTAAATTTTATAGTGCAAATTGTGTAAAAGTACATACCTTTTACCATCTGTTTTAATAGCTTTCACGCTTTTTTGGTTTCCATTTTACCAAGAGCGACCTATGGTCCCATTTTGAAATATCCAAGTTTCATCGAAGAAGACAAACTGGTATAAGGCCTCAACCTTGGCTTGATTGTATTGCCTTAGAAATTCCACCCTTTTCAAAGCTATACTTGGTAGTTCCATGAGCCCTCGTCGCGGATTGTCCTTAAGCCACTTAAATCCAAGATCTCTAAGCAACCGCCTTAAAGACGTGGCACTACCATCAAATAATGCCCTATCTCTTAATCAAGACCATAAAGTTTGTATCGTAACTTGTTCTTCTGAAACCATGTGTAATATGACATTATAATTTAGTTAACAAATTAATGCAAATTTCTGATAAGTTATTATAATAAGATCTTACTTTTGTGATACATATTATAGATCACTTCTCGAATGGCACTTGTATCCAATGTCGCTGTGTTGGTTACACGTTTAATATAACTCCGCTTTTTCTTGGGCGATTCTAAATTTGCATCACTTTTCACACCCTCGGAAATCCGACTAACTGTCCTTAAACTAATTTTTAAAGCAGCAGCAACACGCTACAAAAAATGAAATAAAATTTCACTATTATTAATATACATTACATATAATTATTAGTAACCTACCTCTTGAACAGCATTTAAAGGCAACAAAGGCCCGTTGTTGTCCCTTTCTTGCTCAAAGTAGTGCATTAACGAGGCCACGAGTTCCTTACACCGACTATTTAACTGTTTGGGCATCTTTATATACCAAAATTGCCTTTATCTACTCGTAAAATGAATAATTTTGTTTTGAAACAAACAGTTGTTGATTTACAGTATGCGGGGCCAAAGGATTTATAAAGATTTGAAATGCCACAAATTGATTCAGTGTCAAAATTAATACAAATGTCAGTTCCCAGTTTAAATAAGTTTCAAGGTGACAATGTGTCAACGCTGCGAAATCGGTTTAGTGCGTTTACATGTCGATAAGTGATTGGAGCGTTTGCAAAACATTTTATTTCGCATAATGCGTCTAAATTTATCAGAAAGCAACTTATGTGATATTTTAATAACAATGTTTATATGACTATTAACCATAATAAGAGAGTAATGACCATTTTACAATTTATGTATCACATTAATATGAAACTGCAATAGAGCAATTGTTTGTGATAGAAACCTAGGCATTAGGTCGGGGAATTTTTATCGTGATGACGTGCACGCCACTTTGTTTGGCGTTGACTATATTTGCATGTTCAGCCTTTAAAAATTCCAAGAAGGTCGCAGCATTTAACCTTGCAGGCAAAAGGTAGGGTCCAAATAGTCGATTACGGTAGATACCAATCCACACGTTCACACTAAATTCATGCTAAACATTTCTTTCCCGAACTGCATGCGGATTTTCATGCGACCAAATATGTTGATTATGAAAATTTACCACTCCACGTCTAGTGAAGCATGACTCATCGGTCCATAAAACGTTACTTAAAAACTCCCTATTATTATTTATCAGTTCTATCAAGAATCCACTGACAAAATGTGATTCTTCGTTCTCCGTCCCTTGGCTGTAGTCCTTGCATAGGTTGCAAATGGTAAGGACGTCTATGGTCATTTCTGATAACACGGTGAACATGGCTTGCTGAAATTCCCAAGGCACCAGAAACTCTCCCAACACTTGTGGTCGGATCTCTAGCAAACTCACGCAGAATCATACGGGTAAATCTGCGCTGACGAACATTTATGTTTTAATCCCTTTGGAGATTTCCAAAACCATTTTCAATTATTTGGCGATGCACTCTTACTGTTGGACCAGCGAAAGATTGCAAGCCGAAAGAATGCGGACAAAAAATTGCGAAGTTGTCAGATGTTCTACATAAAATGCGGTCCATACATATTAACATATTTAAGATATAGAATTGTTCCGCTGAATTTGGCAATGTAGCTGGAAAACCCAGGCCGCAGGTAAACATCCGGTCGCTGATTGGTCCAAAACTCTTATCTTATCTGAAACTAGAATAACGTGCCGATGGCACGGTCATTTATAAACCTACTCCCATAGGCGTAGGCAGTTGGCAAATACTTTGAAAATATAATTTACTGTTTAGTGGTGATAATGGAATTCAAGCATGGGAAAGTTATTCACAGCCAGGCAAGGGAAATAATAGCAAACGTGATACGTGCTTGCGATGCAGAAGCGGCTAACAATACTTTCGTTTATCCACTGGTAGCTAGAAATGCAAGGGCGGCATATTATACGGGTGTTAGTGAACGAACTATAAGTAAAATTAGAAAAGAAGATAAAGACAGGCAAAATGCAACCTCCACACAGCCTTTAGCTTCTCCCGGAAAAAAGAGATCACGCCCTTCTGTGATCCAAAAAATTGATGGAGTCGATTTTTCCATTATTCGGAGAATGATAGAAAAATTTTACTGTGATTTTAAAGTGGTACCTACTTGTAGTAAACTTCTAATCAAACTGAAGGAAGAAATGGAATTTCCATTTGGTAAAGAATCGTTGAGGCTGCTTTTAAAAGCAAAAGGATTTTACTGGCGTAAATGCCACAACAAAAGGAAATTACTAATGGAAAGACCCAGTATTTTACATTGGCGATACAAGTATCTTAGGTCTATTAAAAAGTTCCGGGAAGAAGGAAGGCATATTATTTATTTGGACGAAACTTGGGTTGATAATGACCTCACTTTCAAGAAATGCTGGCAAAGCGAAGAAATTATGGGTGTCCTGAGCAATATAAGTTCTACAGGTAATAAAGTTTCTTTCACCTCGATTTTGCTTATTATACATTTTTCTCAATTTTGGAATATTCTTAATAAGTGCTCATTTAATTTGTCTAATTGAATACATAATCCCTTGCAAGTATTTTTTTCTCAAAAATATGTTTTTTATACATAGTGATTCAAAAAGGTGTTGGCAAACTTAAAATAACACTAAAATGAGGCTATTTATTCATTTCCAGGACGACTTATAATTGTTCATGCGGGTTCGCAAGATGGTTTTGTTCCTGGAGCCTGTCTCATTTTCAAGGCTGGCTGTGCCACTGGTGATTATCACGGTCAAATGAACCAAGAAAATTTCACGAAGTGGCTTACTGAAAAACTATTTCCTAACATTCCTCCTAATAGTATTATAATAATGGATAATGCACCTTACCATTCAGCTTTGGAAGACAAGCCTCCAACTAGATCTTCTCTAAAAAGAGACATCATCACGTGGTTGAGCAAAAAAGGTATAGAGCATGATCCTAATGCTAAAAAAATGGAGCTTTATGAAATAGCTTGTCTACATAGGCCACCATCTGATGAGAAAAATTATAAGATAGATAATTTAATAAGAAGTTTCGGACACACCCCACTTCGAACGCCACCCTATATGTGTCAGTTTAATCCCATAGAGATGATTTGGGCACAAGTAAAATTTTTCATTAGAAGCCATAATACAAGCGGCGAATTTACTATAAAAAAACTAGATGAAATTTCTAATAAGGCCATCGCTTCAGTAAGTGCCAGTGACTGGCAAAAGGTTATTGGACATGTTATAAAAATTGAAGATGAATATTGGGAAAAAGACAGTCTCATTCAAGAAATACAGGAAGAAATAATAATCAACATAGGAGGTGAAAGTGATAGCAATGACAGTTCCTCAGACAGTGATCATGACTCTAATCAGGATTGAAACTATACTAGATTGGCTACCTTTTAGAATTTTTAGATATTCATTTATTATACTATTGGTTTGTGGCTTTTAGTATCTCAGTAGAAAGTCTAATTCTATGTGTTGTTTATGGGTTATTTCATCAAGAAATTACTTTTTGTTTTCCTATATTTTTCTATTCAGTCAGATATTTTTGACTTGTTGTATTCTATTTTAGAAGAATGCATAATTTGTTTTGCTGTTCAATCATAATGCGTACATAGGAATATTACTTGTTGCCTAAAAAATATATTTATTTTGTTCTCAATATTCAGTGTTTGTGTATATTTATTTCTTATAATGTATGTTTGGTATCACGTCATTATGAATCGCAAAAAAATATTAATACTACCAGTTGTAATAAAATATAAATTCAATTAATAATTCAAGTCTCTCCGATCTCCGCCTATGACTCCATATAAAATCGTCTAATGGTAAGGTTTTTTCATCGCATTTCCCCCTTTCGTCCCTAGCAATCTTTGGCTGGTCGATCAGTACAAATACTGAGCGAGTTGGATGTCGTCTGTTTGGAAATCTTCGTGCGTATTCTCTGGCTGCTTCTGCTGCGTTTCCATTTACAAAGCCATACACAAAATGAATATCCGCTAACTCTTGATTGGCGAATAAAAATGGCATTTTTATAAATCTTACAAAAAGAAAACAGCTAAAAGAAACTAAATTTCGTGCATTCACAATTGCAAAAAAACGTTTCAGGTTTCAACAGACAACAAAACTAACTGTCAACTAATTGACGTTTAACCTTATTCTGCTTTC